TAAATTTAAAATAAATAAAATTTTAAAAAAATAAATTAAAAAAAAAAAGATCCAGGGAGAAATCTTGTTTGACAAATGAGGGCACAAGTGGGGAAGAAGCTGGGATTCAGAAACTAACAGAAAAAAAAGCACCCTAATGCAGGGCCCCTGTGATTGGAATTTGGAATGGAAGAGGCTGAGACTGGCTACTTGAACATCCTACCTCAAGCTTCAATTGCTCTGGAAATGGGCTGGGCCCAGTCTTTGGGGTAGATCAGCAGGCAGAGCTGCAGGGGAGCTGGGGCAGGCTGAGGCTGATCCTGTTTACTCCCTTGGTTTCAACTACTCTTATAGGCTGAAGACTCTCACACCTGTATTTTCAGCCTTGACCTTTCGTTCAAGATTCATACCAGAGTTATACAATTTCCTGCTATTGTTCCAGTAGGTACTTTAAATTCAACATGTCCAAAATTGAATTTGTTTTAATGCCAAACCTGCTCTTCCTCCTGTATCAACTATCTCAATTAATGACACCACTATTCAACCAAGCATGCAACATCCTTGATTTCTGCTCCCTCCAGTACTACCTGACACATCCAGTGAATGTCTTAAATCTGCTCTGTCCTATCTCTAGTGTCTAGTTTAAGACCCCACCATCTCTTCACCTAATGAGATCTTTTAACTAGTCTCATCTTTCTGAAACTCAGTCCAGTGATAGGCTGGAGCTGGCTTACACTGGGCAGTGAGAGCTGGTTGTACACATCGCTTCCCAACTCTGGGTTCTATGATGTCATATTGGTAGCTTGAAATTGGCCACAATGGGAATACACCACAGAAATTGGCAAACACTACAAATCAAGATTTTTTTTTTTTATGGAGAGCCTCTTATTAAACATTTACCAGCACATTTAACTGCCCCAGTCTTGGGCCAAACTGATCTTTGTAAAACACTTGTTCAACTATGCCACTCTCCTTGATTAAAACTCTTCAGTTAGGGACCCCTGGGTGTCTCAGTCGGTTAAGCATCCAACTCTTGGTTTCAGCTCAGGTCATGATCTCAGGGTTGTGAGATCGAGCCCCGTGTCAGGCTCCTAGCTGGGCATGGAGCCTGCTTAAGATTCTCTCTCTCTCTCTCTCTCTCTCTCTCCATTTGCCCCCTCTCCCCCTCCCTCTCTAAAAAAAAAAGAAAACAAAAAAAACAACTCTTCAGTAGCTCCCCATGGCCAACAGGTAACATTAAATTCCTTAACATAACATATGAGGCTTTTCATCATCTGGCCTCTGCCTAAATGTTCAGCTTCCTCTCCTACCCCTCCTTCATCTCATAAGTTATATGCTAGCTCAAAGGTCATAAACTGGTTCACTCAAGCCTAAATTGCCTCATATATGTATCTTGTTGGGACCGCACACTATCTTTAGCTTTTTTAGCCAACATTTAAAACTTTAAGAAATTCTACCCTGAAAGGGATTAAGAGGTACAAACTTTCAGTTAGAAAACAAAGCATGGGAATGTAATGAACAGTATAGGGAATACAGTCCATAATATCGTAATAACTTTCAATGGTGACAGATGGTAACTCTATTTATCATGGGGGTAATTTTTATCATGTTTCAAAATATCAAATCCCTACGATGTACACCAGAAACTAATAGGTTATTGTCTGCCCATTATACTTCAAGTTAAAAAGAGGACGCTATTTGACAACAAAATAAGAAATTCTACAACAAAATCCATTATTTCTGACTTCTCTTAAGCACAACATTGGGCCCTTGTGCATGCTTATAACAACAATTTTATAACAACAAGGACTGCAGCAGCAAGTACCCCCTTTGAGAGAGCATGTGCTCTACAGTTCACTAGTTCCTATCATCCACTCATCCAGATTATGCATATGTACCCACATGTAACCTTCATTTCTGTTACCTACTGTTATAGACCATATCACAAAGTCCTGAGTATTATCAGAAATCTCTCACCCTCATTATAGAATCTATCTTTACCATGGCTGTCCTGATGATAGCTCATGGTCCCTTCCCTAGAAAGGGAAAGGCAGCAGGATGAAAAAAGAAGCAGCAGAGAAGGGAAGAGGAGTATAAGTCTGTGGTCTTTGTGTCAGAGTCTCCACTTTAAAACACCAAAACTGCGAAAATGGCAGGCAGGGACTGTCCTAGGTTGGGGGACCTCAGGATATTCCCTATAAAGCCCATTTGCTAACCCTCCTTAGTCTTGGAATGTCTACTACCTTCTCAGATGGACATGAGAAGGAAAGACCCAAGGAAATTATCTCTCATTGGCTCAGATTATGGGAGCCAGCCAGGTTTGTAAATGACTCAATTTCTTAATTTGAGAATAGAAAACTTTTTTTTTTCTTTTTGCCCAGTGCCTGTTGTGTGTCTAGCGTTGTACTAGATGCTAGAGGGAAAACAAAAGCAGTCTAAGACAGCTCTTAGACTCACAACCTTATTGATGAAGCAAGAAATGCATATGTGAAGTAATTAAAGAAAAATATAAGGGGGCAGCATTAGAAAAGTAAGATCTTGGATATAACCTAGTGCCCACAACATCTGGGTGGTCAGTAAGGGGTAGGATCAAGTTAAGAGGAGGAGCTATTGAAGAAGCCAGGCCTCACAATGGCCCTTCACTGGCAGAGAAATGGGGAGATCCCCACACACACGGGGGATCCCACAAGACTATATACCCAGAAAGCAATGAGTGAGATGAGTGTGGCAACCTGTGAATAGTAAGGTTGACTGGAGAGTGGGAAGACATGGTCATTGTACACCAGTTTTCTTTTAAAAAGATTTCCTCTCTTGTGTCACATACTCAGAAAGTCAAATAGAGAATCAGAGGCTCCTTGTTGAGCACCACATTAAAGACAATGGAATCAGATGGCTCCAGAAAACATTTCACTAAGCATAGACAGCAACCTTTCAATGACACAAGTGGGGCTAAGCAATAGTCACATGTACCATTGTCTGTCTTGGACAGGCTTGTCAGCACTGGCATAGAGGGACAGAAAGAAGAAAGAGAAAGAAGAGTAAGAAAAGTAGAAAGAGCTAGGAAGTGGGAGGAGAGAGAGAACAGGAAGAGCACCATGGTAGGGAGGATGCATTCCCCCAATCTAACCCAGGGAATCATGTGCTACAGGCTATCCTCCCTCCACCCGCCACCTCCTGCCTCTGGGCCATAGCAGAGATTGAGAAACGCTTCTGTCCACTGGGAAGAGGCAGATTTCCAGATCTGAGCTCCTTTCTTCTGAGCAGACTGTGACATATTGCTCACTTACCATCTCCCCCAACTCAAGGCTTTATGTTGGTTGTGTTTATGTATATTACTGGGCCCACTCAGACCTACTTCTTCCTTAGCCTGGAGGCTTATGTTAATTTCTGAGATTATTCTTTCCTGTGTCCAATTTACTTTATGAGCCAGTTGCTCACTTCCTGCTGTCTAGCTTGTAGCTGCTTCCTCTAAATGTTTAACAATGCCGTCTCGCCGCTCCATCCAAGTAATTGATGACCAATGTGCATCCAGTTCTCAACATTCAGAGGCTGAAGCAACCACTCCACGAAAGAAAAGATTTCTTGCAAACTCCTCCCCCTCCTTCTCCTCCAACCCTCTCCCACTTCCTGTTTTCTGATCTCTTTCCTGTTTGCGAATCCTTCATCCAAGGTGAGAAGGAGGCAAAGATGATGAAAAACTGTAACACATCCTTTTGTCTGTTCATCAGGAACTGCAATGTTCTAAAAAACGTTTTTTAAGAGTAAAGAGAAACTATTAAGTAAAACATATTTGTCTATTCCGTGAGAATCTCAATTATCCATGTTTTGTTCTCCCCAATTCAAATGAGTATTTGCAAGTGTTTTCTTCGAAGTGTATTAAGATCATTTCACAATTTCCTGGAATCCTGTCCATGCTTTCAGTACTCAGCTCCACCCCTCCATGAAGCCTCCTCTGACTATTCCAGTCCTCCTTATTGCTTAGCTCTAGATCCTACCACACTGAGACTCTTCTCTGGGTATAGAGCTGCCTCCATTTCCCTATTACACTGAGAATACAATGAGTCCCAAAACACACATTTTAAAGTCAAAAGATTTTTTTATTCATTGATCAGGTTCTGCAAACTCACCTAAAAATGCTCCTGAATGCCCAAAGAACCCCAGACCTTCCTCCAATAGCTGCTAGTTACACCAAGCATTACATCATAGACAGAATGATGTTATCAAAGGTTCCTTTTGCTATTGTTAACACTTCATCCAAGCCAAGAGGTCTTCATTTACAGAGCACTTCTTTCTGACAATAATAGATTCTCTCTACCTTGCTGGGACCTGCAAGAAGTTGGAGGAACACTATCTGGCCTTGGTCTTTGGTCCCCTAATGTCCTATATACATACAAAGTCAATGGAACCACTTAAGATTGTCTTTTCTTCAGCATCCGGGGCTTGATTTAGTGGTATGGTCTTTAAAATTACTGGTTGTCTTTAGCCTTTCAAACAAATATTCCTGCAGTCTCTACTCATTTGGAACTGAACACGTGCTACTATATACTCCTATTTACCGATTTTATGTAGGTCTGATCTACCCAACTAAGCTCCAGAAGGTTAGGGAAAATGCCCCTTACTTCTCTAGAACCCCCATCATGCCTCAGACAGAATTGGGCATATTGTGGTTGCATAATTTTCAGAACCAAGCTCTAGCTTCCTACTGCCTGGGTTTGAATCTTGGCTCAGTTACTAAAAACTATGTAACTTTGGGTATGTTCTTTAACTTCTGTGTGCCTCAGCTTCTTCATTTGGGGAGAATATTTACCTCACAAGGTCATGGGGATTAAATGAGTAAATACACGTAAAGTGCTGTGTGCCTGGCATATGGCCAGTATTCCACAAATAGCTATGGTAATAAGGGGAATTGACAAGAGAACAGTGACTCCAATTCCCAAATCACTAACATTGGATGGGCCCTATGCTCCCTCTCTCTCCCAGCCTTAATCATGCCCTTTATGATTTTATTTTATTGTACCTAGGTCCCCACCCTCATGATGGATACCCAGTTCTCTGAGTTCACACCAGACATCACTCCCATCATGCTGGCCGCCCACACCAACAACTACGAGATCATCAAATTGCTTGTCCAAAAACGAGTCACTATCCCACGGCCCCACCAGATCCGCTGCAACTGCGTGGAGTGTGTGTCCAGTTCAGAGGTGGACAGCCTGCGCCACTCCCGCTCCCGGCTGAACATCTATAAAGCTCTAGCAAGCCCCTCGCTCATTGCCTTGTCAAGTGAGGACCCCATCCTAACTGCCTTCCGTCTGGGCTGGGAGCTCAAGGAGCTCAGCAAGGTGGAGAATGAGTTCAAGGCCGAGTATGAGGAGCTCTCCCAGCAATGCAAGCTCTTTGCCAAAGACCTGTTGGACCAAGCTCGGAGCTCCCGGGAATTGGAAATCATCCTCAACCATCGAGATGACCACAGTGAAGAGCTTGACCCTCAGAAGTACCATGACCTGGCCAAGCTGAAGGTGGCAATCAAATACCACCAGAAAGAGGTAAGCTGAGCTTTTCTCTGCTTTCAGGAAAGCTTAAGCCATCCAGAGTCCAGTGCAGCAGAATGAGAGTCGACATTTTTTCTACCATTTAGTCCTCTCACAATTGAATGGTTCAACAGGCCTCAAAAAAAGTGAGGCTCATTTTCCAAGGTACATACAGCCTCCACATATTTTCTTTATAGACAGAGAAGTAGGGAAAAATACTGACCATCTGATTTGTTGATGGGAAAGTACTCATTCTTTCAAAAAATGCTTATTCAGCACTGTTCTAGGTGTTTGGAATACAAAAAACAGGCATTGACACTGCCTTCATGAAGCTTACAACCTAGCTGTGGACATTACATAAATGATCACATTAGTGAATATGTAATTACAAGCAACGTAAGTGATCTGAAGGAGAACTTCTATGAGAACACATAACAAATGACCCCACCCTACATATTGGGGCCATGGTGGTCAGTAATCATGGAGGGCTCACGGTGTGGATGCTTTTGGAAATGAATTATTATTGTTTTTTAATTTATTTTTTATTAACATAATGTATTATTTGTTTCAGGGGTACAGGTCTGTGATTCTTCAGTCTTACACAATGAATTTGTTACTAGCATCTTTGATTAAAGGAATCTAAAACACTAAGGTCATGTTTCATAACTGTGGCTCCCTAGTCCACTTTACATGAATACTTATGTTAAACTCAAAAATCCCTCTTGAGATGCTTTCAGCATTTTACTAAGGTTTTTAAAATGAAATTGTGACAAGGGGTAGAGAATTCAGTGGTTTTCCTTACCTTGCTAAAATGCAGTTCCATCCTTCAGAGGTATAATGGAGATCACCTCCAAAGATTCTTTATTACCCTGAAGAGATGTGACATTTAAGACTGATGGATAGTTATATCTGTCAATACAAATAACTCCCAAATAACTAAAGGAACTAGAGGTTATTTTTTCTTTTTTTATGTTTTTGTTGTTTGGTTGGTTGGCTGACTGGCTTGCGAGCTAAGGGTTATATAGGCAGATGAAAAACAAGTTTTAAATATGGACTGGAGGAATAGGGTCCTTGATAAAATAAGTATATACCCAATACAATGGCTCAATACCTCTAGTCTATTGAAATAAGTCTATCAATACAAGAACACAATAGTTGGGGTGCCTGAGTGGCTTAGTTGGTTAAGCATCTGCCTTTGGTTCAGGTCATGATCCCAGGGTCCTGGGATCAAGCCCCATGTCAGGCTCCCTGCTCAGCAGGCAGTCTACTTCTCTCTCTCCCTCTGCCCTGCTCAATCTCCCCACTCATGCTCGCACTCTCTCTCAAATAAATAAATAAAAATCTTTAAAAAAAAAAGAACATAATAGTCAACTTTGATGTAAAAAATCATTGTAAAAATCTAATTGGGTAATAGTGGGTTAATAGTGTTCAAAATTACATAACCCCCTCAGGAACAAAATCTTAGCCTTAAGTGGAATATAATTTACTATTTCCTGGAAGGCTTTTTCATTGTTGGTTTTTCCTCATTACTATTCCTACTTGCACTGGAGTGGACTCCCACAAAGAATCTAACTAGATGGTCAAAAAAAAAAAAAAAGAGCTCAGAAGAATGAAACAAAAGCTGATTCCAAACTACAACTTTCACATGGAATAAAATAAGAAAGCTCTCATCTTTTAGAAAACAGGTGTAAAACTATTGGATAATCTTTACATGTCACACAGACTCTCAGGTATTGTCATATAGACATTTTTCAGATATTCCTAAAGAGTCCTGATTTCATATATTGTCCCATTGTCAGATATATCATACCACGGTCTTTGAAAATTTTATCACTGTATTTCTTCCTTATTACCATTGAAGGTAGACAGAAAAATTATTATAACTCATTTTACAAACAAGAAAGGACTATATTTCAGAGATTTGTTCAGGATTATCTGACAAAGCCAGAAGTAGAACTTACAACTCCTGGTACAATACTGTCTCTGAGTGTACTCCATCTTCTGCTGCGTGGGGTTCTTTTATGCTCATTTGGGACCTCCAAATTCACCACCAGGTAATTTAAAATGAACACAAGTTCTTTGATTTATGAATGAAAGTTTATTAGTTAAAATCTGTTAAAGCACATAGCAATAAAACAGTGTGGATCAATAACAAGGATGATATTCAATTCTAATTTAATGTCTGGCATTAATCATCACATAAGGATACAATTATGTAGTCGCAACATCTCATGCAAGTTAGCCAAAACACCCAAGGATAAAGACTAATGCAACTTTTCTCCCTTGGTTTTCACACCCTCAAGCTTGTCTCAGAATGACGAGCCTGTCTCCCTCTCTATCCCTCCGTGCCATACAAGAATTGGCTTTGGTGTTAGTCTCAAGAAGATCCAGAAAAGGGCTAGTTTAAATAAAGGACCAGCCATTCTCTCCATTCTCCTGGAGGAGAAATCCAGGATTCCAATCAGAGGTATCCAATAGGTGGACTGCCAAGTTAAGTAATGTATCTCCTTCTAATTGGGCTTTTAAGTGCATGACCTGTGTGGATCGCCAACCAGCTATTTCTATCAGTATCAACGACTTAGGGTTGGCTGATTTGCATAGGATAAAAGCAGGACTTTGTTCATAAACCTGCTTAGGAAGTAACTCTATACCATGGCTTTCCATCCTAAATAGCTGCATGACTATTCTATACAACTTACTGCTTTTCTTCTCTTGTCTGAAAATACTTCCTTACTAGCTCTTATTCCTAACTATTTTATTATTGCCTACACTTAACTTCTTATCACTCTCTCCTGAAAATACTTCCTTACTAGCTCTTATTCCTAACTATTTTATTATTGCCTACACTTAACTATCACTCTCTCCTGAAAATACTTCCTTACTAGCTCTTATTCCTAACTATTTTATTATTGCCTACACTTAACTTCTTATCACTCTCTCCTGAAAATACTTCCTTACTAGCTCTTATTCCTAACTATTTTATTATTGCCTACACTTAACTATCACTCTCTCCTGAAAATACTTCCTTACTAGCTCTTATTCCTAACTATTTTATTATTGCCTACACTTAACTTCTTATCACTCTCTCCTGAAAATACTTCCTTACTAGCTCTTATTCCTAAGTATTTTATTATTGCCTACACTTAACTTCTTATCACTCTCTCCTGAAAATACTTCCTTACTAGCTCTTATTCCTAAGTATTTTATTATTGCCTACACTTAACTTCTTATCACTCTCTCCTGAAAATACTTCCTTACTAGCTCTTATTCCTAAGTATTTTATTATTGCCTACACTTAACTTCTTATCACTCTCTCCTGAAAATACTTCCTTACTAGCTCTTATTCCTATTTTATTATTGCCTACACTTAACTATCACTCTCTCCTGAAAATACTTCCTTACTAGCTCTTATTCCTAAGTATTTTATTATTGCCTACACTTAACTATCACTCTCTCCTGAAAATACTTCCTTACTAGCTCTTATTCCTAAGTATTTTATTATTGCCTACACTTAACTATCACTCTCTCCTGAAAATACTTCCTTACTAGCTCTTATTCCTAAGTATTTTATTATTGCCTACACTTACTTCTTATCACTCTCTCCTGAAAATACTTCCTTACTAGCTCTTATTCCTAAGTATTTTATTATTGCCTACACTTAACTTCTTATCACTATCAACTCTAATCATGCTTAATACAACAACCCATTGTTTGGAGCGGGTTTACATCTTAACAGTTCTTAAACACATGTAATCACACAATCAAAGCAAACATCTAATATATTTTATCTAATCCTGAGGTGCCACTGTAGTACAATCTTTCCACATGACTCATCTGCCAGGAGGCTAGCCAGCTTCACATATTACCAGGTTGTAGCATCTTCCAGCTTTGACACATAAGGACCATGTTGAGCATTAGTTGCTTTATAGGCTGGTTCAAGCTTTATCTTGTTTCAAGGTGTGTAGTAGTCCCACAGATTTCTCTTGATGTATTTTGATGGCCAGCTTTAGTTAGTATGCTTGCTTGTGTTCTCTCATTAATATTAACAGTTTTAATGAGCTCACACTAATCTGTTATAGCGCCTATATTCCAGAGTTCTACATAGGGGAATAGCTACCGTTTGGTATCAATCATATTTGAAGAGCACCAGATCTGTCCATTTACAGTGAAATTGTTCACTAAATAGAATTTGTAGCAGACTGATGGTCTCTCCTTGGATGTTTCCTGATCTTGCCCAAGTACTCCTGCTTTGGGTTTTATTTTGACACAAAATTAGAGCCAATTTCCTAAAGTCCAAATTCCTAGTGGAGAGTATATATCTTTTCCAGCTGTTTCCAAAACTTTAATTAAAGCATAGACTCTATCTTTTAACTTTTATCCAATTCCTCTTTGATTCTTCTTGGTTGGACATACTGCAATAGCTAGAGTCCCCTACCCTAGGAAAGTAAGGCTCGATTTGTCCAATTAGTACAGCAGCGAAGTCCCTCAATCTGCTGTCTGGTCTGGCTTGTAATTACCCACGGTAGTTGCTTGATGATAGAACTTTTATTTCTCCTCTTTGTGTCTTTGTGCACCCATTTAAGTGTCCTGGATCCTCATCTACTCCACACAGCAGTCTACTGTGGAACTTTCTCATAATAACATGTTTGAGTAGCTACCTAAGTGCCTCTCATTTTCAAAAGGATCTGTGGTAGCTTTTTTTTTTTTGATACAGCAGTCTCCTTTAATTTGTTACATACACTCACCCTGAAATTCAGTGGTGAAATTGACTTTGTTTCTCCTGCCACTGCTTATCCACATCAGATCTCTAATTTCCCCCACATTTACCTTTAAAAGCAGCTAATTATCCCTGTATGTAGACCTCACTTAGGATTAGAGGCAGCATCTGTCATGTTGATTAGTTATGAATCTATCTGTATTCAATGTATTTTTAATCTATTTGCTAATAATATGCTTTAGGACTCTATACGAATTGGGTATAGTCTGGTTTCCACCAGGATGGATTAACTTCCACATGTCATTTCTTCACAATTTGAATGCACCAATTTGTCCTAACTACTACTCTGCCTTTACCTAGTTGTTGCCCATGTTGTAAGATGCAAAGACCATTCTCTAGGAAGGAGGACCATAGTGTCCATGGGCTTGTCTGAAGGGTAGCTATTGTTCCAAATGGAAGCAAGATTACTATATGGCATGGAATTAGTATGAGCAGTGAATTTCCCACACATTTATTGGGTCTCTTTCTATTTTGATATGGGGAGAGGGGTCATCCAACTATTGCATTTTAGCCTTCTGGTATTTGTAGAATTATTAGGGCTAAATACCAGTCCATATTTTATTCAAATTCATTATTGCTCCCATTTGTCAATAGTTAAGATTTCTGTGTCAAGGTGGCAGCAGGTACCCTATAATAAGCCTATCAGCTATTCTTTATAAATCTAACTATACCCAAGAAGATATACTTTATCCACTTCTATTTGTGGACCATCACGTCTGAGCCAATGCCATAAGGGTTTGACTCCATTGGTGAACAGTCTTTCATGGGGCTATGTTTAGACCTGTTAGTACTACTACTACTCCTCTCATTGTTATTTGATGTAATTTGCCCTTTCCATTTGGGGAACAATACTGAAGACTAGTTGTAGTGTGGGTCATCACTTGAGGGAATAGTCCTGCATCAGAACCTCTTGGCCTCAGCTTTTTCAAAGGCTTCTCCCTGGCAAAAGTTATCTGAAAACCTTTCTACAGTTTTATTATCTGATAGATGGTGCTTTTTCAAAATTGCTTCCCCTAGTCTGCTCTAGCATTCTTTGGTTGACACATCCTCTCCTAAAGGCCTAGTGAGGAGTTATATCTTTTCAAATAGAAGTGCCCCAACGCTGTCCTGTCAGTGTGATGTATTCATTATAATACCGTCTTGGGGGATATTCCCCTTTTGGTTTCCATTCGCAGAATAATGACATTGGGTTCCAACACATAATAGAGTCCATGAGGCCTTCACTCCGTTGTTAGGTGAGGAGTTTCTTTTTTTGGTATTATTTGCTTCTGTTATTAGGAACCCCAACAGGAGAACAAGAACAGGTAGATAAAAAGCCATATGGCTAAAGTCGGAGCTTTTAAAAGAAATATAAAGAAGAAAACAGACCAGCTTCTACTGGAAGTAAATCTAGTATTACTTGTTCTATAAGCTATTAGTAATGAAAATGTACAGAACTAGGAGAAAACAAACATTGTTAATACTCAGAAAAATCAGAATCTATTTAAAACAGAAAAACGATCAGTTCTCACATGCTGCTGGGGGCAAATTAGATCTTAACCACTTCTTAGGTCATTGTTTATACTGGAGAGTACATCTTCATATAAATCTTCTATGTCTAACATCGCTTGATCTATGTCAAGGATTAGGTCTTCATCTTCTCTTGGTGTAAGTATTGACTCTAAGTCTGAGAGCTCAGCAAGGTCTGGGAGCGAACCTTCCTCAGGAGGAGATGCATCCATTTCTACCTCTTCTGCTCTATCATTTTGCTCTACACAAGGAACCTGTTCTTGTGAAATCAGCTGTAAAAGCTCTTCAGCTACTCTTATTAACTGGGCTACACAATCAACAAGTCCAGCAACCAGCACGGGGACTGACACAGGCTCCATGCCTCAATGATCTCCTCAGTAGATAAATATTACTGAAAGCTGTAGCAAATGGGCTCTTGGTGATAATGGATCCTATGGGGCTAGGAATGGTTCTATGGTTGTTTTGGTTGAGAAATGAGGCTGTTGATATGATCAAGTATAGAATGAGGCCAGTGGTCCTACAGCACTTTTTGATAAAGTTGGTGAACCTCCCACAAAACTTACATACGACGCTCTTGTTTGTGTTGGCAGTAAACTGCTATTATAATGACCACCAGAGAGACTGCCACCGCCAAAAGAAAACAGCAAAGCAGATCTAATAATAGAAAAGAGAAATATAAAGATTATTATTCTTGAGCCTTTATCTGTCCTACAGGTTCTGGCTATAGGATAAGGTTGAAAGAGTATCCCTAGTTATTGATCCTTTTTGATGGCTTTCTTTCTTGAACATTTCTATTGAGGAAGTTACATTCACTCAGAGTCTTTCAATTAATTCTGTCTTTATTAGCACTTTACCTCATTGCCATTTATATCTGGTGCTGCTAAATTCTTTCGTGTTTTAAGTCTTCCATTCATTAAGGTTTCCAATTGGCCGTACAGCCTGGGGAATTTGTGAAATTAAAGTTCCACAGTTTGTGTCTTTTGCCAAATTTTGGACAACTTCTGAAATAAAAGTAGTTCCTTGGTCATTTCCTATTACTGCCAATACTGCATATCTAGCAGCTAGTTCCTTCAATTTTGTCTAATGCCATGAACATACTATTCTCATCTGCATGTCTGGTGTGCTCTGCAAACCCTCTTCCTGAGGAAGTTTATACTTCTATAAGGTAGTATTCTTTGTTTAAAAATCTAAAGATTGGCCCAGTATCATCTACTTCACACATTGGTCTGGTTTAACATGCCCCACTCCTCTTAAAAATGAGTTTGTTGGGACGCCTGGGTGGCTCAGTTGGTTAAGTGTATGCCTTAGGCTCAGGTCATGATCCCAGGGTCCTGGGATCAACTCCCGCATCAGGCTCCCTGCTCAAGGGGAGCCTGCATCTCCCTCTGCCTGCTGCTCCCCCTGCTTGTGCACTCTCGCTCTCTCTCTCTCTCTCTGGCAAATAAATAAAATCTTTTTAAAAAAGAAAAAAATGAGTTTGTTGAAGATGCAAGTTTTTAGTAATTTGACATGTCTCATATCGCTTACTCACTTGTTTGATTCATACATTTTCCCCCACTCTTTCCCCTCTGCTTACCTAGGACATTCATGCCCAAATGCCATGAGGCTTCATGGGCCCATTCTGTGACCTTAAATTGAACTGACAAGGGAGTTGAATTTGAACTTGGAGTCCCTAGGACTGTAGAGTCCACATTAGTTTTGGGGGTCAGATTGTCTCCTCTTTTACACTAAATAGATTATTCTGTCTTCCTGTTCTGATGAGTTGGTACATGTCCTACATGAATTGTTAAATTTCTTTCATTGATTTCTTTTCTTATCTCCCTTCACCAGATTGTTTTTCCTGCAGTAGTCCTGTCTGTAATGTTCCATTTATTATAACATACATCTTCAGTCCATGGCTGATCAGTTTAGCTATATACTTTGACCAAGTATTTCCTTGGGTACATATACACATTGAATTTCTAGCAGCCAGTCCTGCAAATGGGGCTGCTTTTATTTCTCTAGCCTCAGTTGAGCTTTTCCTAGTGGAAAGTATTAGGAAGCAGCCATCCATCTCACTCCTTAAGGATATTGCCAAATCTATCAATGCCCTATTTCCATCAGTTCTGACCAGAGCGGGGCCCAGCAAACCACAGGCACTACTTCTGGCTAATTGTACTCCTTAGACCTTTATCTGAGTACAGCAAACCACTGGCCAGATGAACTGTGATTTTCAGATGGAGCTTGCTGGTCTCCATGGGTCCTGCTTTGACCCACTCAGTTATATACTATCTCCACTTAACATAAGTTCTTTCAGAACCATACTTTTTTTTGGTCCAAAATCCTGACAGTAGATGTGAAGCATGCCCCGAGAAGGGTCACAACAATTATGATCAGAAGGCATGATTATGGTTGGAGATAACTTCTCATCTGAAATATGGGAGAATGGGCACTGGAAGTTATTTTATTAGCTTAAAGAATCTCTGCATTTTGACTAGAGAAAAATCAGTCTGGTGGAAGGAAATAATGGAAAGAAACTGTGAGAGGAATTTGGCATTAATGTAGAGTGTGGATCAGAAGGGAAACACAGAAGAAAGGTGTGTGTTAAATATTACTAGAGGAATACACTCACACTAAACCGATTTAATTTCTGGCTTCTCCTTCACCCAGGTGTTTTTTGTTTTTTGTTTTTTTCCTCAGCATCTCTACCTCCCTCTAGGACTCTGATATTCCTCTTCTTGGTCAATAGACCTCCATTTATTCACCTATATGTTTCATTCTATTTGACTCTCTGTGTATCTCCTTCTTCCACTATCCCTTCCCGTCATCTTTTCTTCTCTCTCTCCCTAAACTGGGAAAAATTTCAAAAATAAATTATATTCCACTTATTGAGTTGATATTGTATTGAAAAAGTCTTACATTATACAATCTAAATGTAAAAAGCAGAGAGGTGGAACATTTCATAGCTGGCTCTTTTATAAAGATAAATGTAGTTACTTTTTACTTATGCAAACCTTGATTTATCTCTTCAATCACTTGGTCACCTTTGAGGGGAAAAAAATATCCCGACTTAGCCTTAACCCTGTTGACCATTGTGTTAACTAATCCACAATTCCTAGCTTCAAAGCATCTTGGAACCTAGGACCTGGGGGCTTGGAGAAGACAAGGAGAGTATTGAGAAACTGCTAAATACTGCAGTACTAAGAAAGAGTAAGACTACAGCATCAGCTTATTCCAGTTGTGATAATTTTTAAAGCAAGTAACCCCTGACACCTTAGTTTGCCTGAAAGGGGGTATGTTGGATAGTTTGTGCCTAGCCCCAACTTACCTTAAGGGCCATTTTTTTAAATATATTTCTTAAGTCTTTTTGTTTTTATTTTTATTTCTTTTTTATTGGTATATAACATTAAATTAGTTTCAGGTATACAACATAGTAATTTGATATTTGCATATATTACAAAGTGATCACCACAATAAATCTAGTTGCCATCCATCACCATACAGCTGACCCCCTTCACCCTTTTTGCCCACAACCCAACCCCCTTCTGCTCTGATAACCACCAATCTGTTCTCTGTATCTATGAGTTTTGTTTTGCTTATTCATTTGTTTTTTAGATCTCACATATAAGTGAAATCATATAGTATTTGTCTTTCTCTGCCCAACTTATTTCACTTAACATAATACCCTCTAGATCCATCCATGTTGTTGCAAATGGCAAGATCTCTTTCTTTTTATGGCTGAGTCATATTCTGTTGTGTATATAAACCACATCGTCTTTTCCGAAATTCACCCATTGATAGACACATATGCTGCTTCCATACCTTGGCTATTACAAAATGCTGCAATGAACATGGGGTATGTGTGTCTTTTCAAATTAGTGTTTTTATTTTCTTCACATAAATACCCAGAAGTAGAACTGCTATATCATATGGTAGTTCTATTTTTGATTTTTTGAGGAAGCTCCATACTGTTTTCCATAGTGGGTATACCAATTTATATTTCCACCAACAGTGTTTAAGGGCCCTTTTATTAGCTGTTCCCTCTGCCTGGGATCCCTTTCCCCAGGAAAAAAAAATGGCTTCTTGTCATTCTGTTCTCAGTTTAAATATCTTCTCAGATTTCTCACCCTCCAACCTAAAAAAGCTCCCCTAACCATCCCTTTCTCATTATACATGCAGTACATTTTTGCATTATGGTACCTACAGGCTGGAGGAAGGGACAACTTTCAGCTCTTTCATTCAGAAAATATTATCAAGTTGAATCCATGAATAGACATAGCAAGGGGTACAAAGATAAACCAATTCATCAAAACACACAGTAAATAAAATGAGCAGCAGTCCACAGACTGAGAGAAAATATTCATAAAACATATATCTGACAAAGAACTTGTAACCAGAATATACAAAGAGCCCCTACTGGGGGGTGGGCAGTGGGTGAAGTGGGTGAATGGAGTCAAAAGGTACAAACTTTCCATTATAAAATAAATAAGTCACAGGGATGTAACGCACAGCATGGTGACTATAGTGAATAATATTGTATTGCATATTTGAAAGTTACTAAGAGAATAAATTTCAAAAATTATAACAAGAAAAAATGTTTTGTAACTATGTATGGTGACAGATATTAATGACATTTATTGTGGTGATCACTTTGCAATATATACAAAGATCAAATCATTCTGTCATATACATGAAACTAATATACTGTTATATGTCAATGATACCTCAATAAAAAAAGTGCCCCTACAACTCAATAATAAAAAGATAAACCAATTAAAAATGGGCAGAAGATTTGGACAAACATTTCACAAAGGAAGAAAAATAAATAGCTAATAAGCACATGAAAAAATATTCAACATCATTAGTCATCAAAGAAATACAAATTAACATCACAATAAGACACCACAACATACTAATTAACTGGTTAAAAATTAAAGACTGACAACACCAGATGTTGACAAAGCTGTAGAGCAACTAGAATTCTCACACATTGCTGGTGGGATATAAAATGGTACAACCTCTTTGAAAATGTCTGGCAGTTTCTTATAAAACTAAGCAAGCACCCACCTTGATCCCCAGCAATTTCACTCTGAGGTGTTTAACCAAGAGAAATTAAATTCACAAAAAGACTTTTAGAAGAATGGTTATAACAGCTTTATGCATAATAGCAAAAAAAAAAAAAAAGAAAAAAAAACAGCGGAAAAAGCCCAGCTGTCAATCAAAAGGAGAATGGATAAACAAAATGTGGTATATTCATACAGTGTAATACTAATCAGCAAGAAAAAGAAAGCCACTACTGATAGGGACCATAGCATGAATGGATATCAAAAACATTATACTTAATAAAAGAAGCCAGATATGAAAGAATACATACTGTAAGATTCCACTCATATGCAATTCTAGAAAATGCAAAATGACCTATGATGGAAAAAAATCAGAAAAGTGGTTGCTTCTAGAGAACTGATTGGGAAGAGGCAAAAGAGAACTTTCTGGGGTGACAGTAATGATTATATTTTAGAATTTTGGGTTACAAAAGAATATGAATATGCATTTGTCAAAACTCATTAAATAGTACTCGTAAGATCTGTGCATCTAATTGCATGTAAATTTTACTCCTTCCAAAAATTTAACCAAGCATAATCCCCAGCCTCAAGAACCATATATCAGATGAGATGACATGCCCATGAATAATTATTCTAATAAATGCTCACATTTGTAGAAGACCTATTATGTTTCTGTGAAATCCACTTGTCTTATATTAGGACATTTCATCCTCACAGTAACCCTATGAAGTTACAGATGAAAGAATTGAGAATCAGAGAAATTAACAAACTTGCCCACAGTCACATGGTTAAGTAAAGATGCAGAACCAAAAGTCAGCCCAAGTCTGACTCCTGAAGTCCTATGCCGGAGGGCACCAATTCAGGGGGCTACATAGGAGCAAAATTTGCCTTATTCAGGCCAGAGCTGACATCTCATTCTGAGCAGGGATAGAACTGAGAATGTTAATCTCATTTGCCATCCCTGGAAACTGGCTGAATTCCAAGCTGACTATGAGCCCTCAGGCGGAGGGATGGCAACAGCCTGATTGGTGCCCTCAGGGATCCTCATCATCTGTGGAAGAAATGCTGTGTCCATTTTATCTGCCCTTCTACTGACCTACTGAATTGGCCCAAACACTCAAACTACTCACCTGTGATAGAGCTGAGATGGATGAGAAAGTCAAGGTTCCAGCCTGTGAATGTCTTCCGGACTTCCGCTTTCAAGCGGGGATGTGAATGCTCCTGTCACAAACTAAAGAACAAAAAGAAGGATAAACTGCAAAATCAATACATAAAGATATCCCTGATCTGTGGAAACAAGGACAAGATAAACTAAAATTTCTGAGAGCACAGAGCCTTTCCTAAGTGAGCTGGTCATCCAGAGCTTTTTTCTTCATGAGACATTTGCTCATTCTGGGCCCAAGTTGAAGATGAGGTTTGGCCCCAAGGCAGAAGGACTCTACTGTGGAAAAGGAGAAATCTGCATAATATTTGAGGCTAGTAAAGAAAACTAATCCTGAATTTCAGGCTTCTCTAATTTCCAATCCATTACACACCACATACCAAAATTAATAATAATAATAATAATAATAATAATAATAATTGTAAATGGATCATAGACCTAACATGAATGATAAAACAATAAATCTTCAAGATCAAACCATAGGCAAATATCTTCTTGACCTTGGTAGGCAAAGATTTCTTATTTGAAAATAAGAAAAATTTTTTGAAAACAAAAAATATTAACTATGAAAGAAGACTGATAAACTGGACTTCATAAAAATAAATAACTTCCATTTATTAAAAGACCCCTTAAGAGGGTGAAAAGGCCAACCACAGACTGGAAGAAAATATTCACAGTATGTATGTGTATATCTAACGAAGGACTTGTATCCAATATATACATATATTTTTTATAGTCTTTCAAATCAACAAGAGAGAATCCAATTTAAAAAAAAAAAAAAGTCCAATTTTTTAAAAAAAAACAAAGAACTAAATGGCACTTCACAGATGAGAACATCCAAATGGCCTACAAGCATATGAGTAGGCTTTCATTACTGCACATCAGAAAAATGCAAATTAAAACTACAATAAGACACACAAAACCCCACCAAAGAATAGCTAAAATGGAAAAAACTGACAGTACCAAGCATTGAGAAGAACATGGAGCAACTGGAACTCTCATACATTGTTGGTGAAAGTGTTAAGTGGTAATAAGTACTTTTAGGAAACTATTTGACAGGGATGCCTGGGTGGCTCAGTCTGTTAAGTGTCTGCCTTCAGCTCAGGTCATGATTCCAGGGTCCTGGGATCTAGCCCCGCATCGGGCTCCCTGCTCAGCGGGGAGCCTGTGTCTCTCTCTGCCTGCCACTCCCCCTGCTTGTGCATTCTCTCTCTCTCTCTCTTGCTAAGCTCCCTGATAAATAAATAAATAAATAAATAAATAAATAAATAAATAAATATCTTTAAAAAAAGGAAACTGTTTGACAGTATCTACTAAAACCAAACATACCTCTATCTCATGACCCTGCAATTCTACTCTTCAGTATCCAAAAGAAAAATGTACAAATGTCCCCCCAAAAAACATGTACAAGAATGATGAAAGAAACCAGATGCATAAATATGCATATTGTATAATTCCATTTACATGAAATTTTAAAATAAGTAAACAAGTCTATGGAATGGAAGTGAATGAAGTGGTTACCTTTGGGTGGAGGATTATTGACTGGCAAGGGATATGAAAAAGCTTTCTGGGATGCTAGAAAGGTTCTATGTCATAATATGATTTCATATGTTTTTAAAAAAACATTCAGTTCTACCCTTAAAATTTGTGTGCTTCACTGTATGTATATCTCAAAAAAATTGTTTTAATTTTGGGTCTCTCTCCTGTAAAACCAGTAAGGACAGCAAGACAGTGATGAGAATTTTGGCAGTGTTTAGCAAGCCAGTCATCACAGCCAATGACAATGGAATGAAATCTGAAGGTACGGAGCAGGGTCCCTTTGGCCCATGTGGCTCTCTACCTCAGGTCAGTGCTAACTAAGTAAAGCAAGAGAGCCTTACAGCTAGATGGAGTTATAAACTGACACAAGATGAGATGACCCACATCTTACAAGTAGCTCAGAAAGACAGCTGGAACAGAGAGCAAGCTAGCCATCCGATAACTAGGGTCTTTAACCCCATAGGTTTTTATTAATTTCACTCTTATGACATTTTTGTCAGCACAACTAATCAAGAGCCATTGTTTTTCTTTTAGCTGATAGTCCTATCCTGCTATTTTGTGATGCTCATAACTAGCAAACTGGCAGTAAGTGTCTAACAGTAGGATGGAAAGGAGCAAAGGAATCCAAATCCTCTGGGTCTATGTTTATAGTAGATAAGCTTCTCTGCATCAGGCAAGGTAAATTAGTTCATATCCAAGGGGAACAGAGGCAGTTATGTGAGAGAGATTAAAATGCGCCTTTGGTGAGTGTAGGTGCCAGGTTCCTATCTACAAACAGTAAATTTTTTCATAATGCTCCCTTCTCTGAGGAGAAGGTGCTGCAGTACCATTCGGATACATGCATTCAATACAGATTAAAAAAAAAAACACCCCCCAGACATTACTTCTCTTTGCTGTCCTCACCCCTGAGGAAAACATCAAGAAGTCCTTGCCCCCAAAGGACAAATCTTATAATTTTTTAAAACGACTCTACTTATTTGTTTGTTTGTTTGAGAGAGAGAGAGAGAGAGAGAGAAAGAAAGAGAGAGCAGGAGCTTGGGGAGGAGCAGAGGGAGAGGGACTAAGAAGGCTCCATGTTCAGTGCATAGCTTGACATGGGGCTCAGTCTCACGACCCTGAGACCACAACCGGAGCCAAAATCAAGGGTCAGAAGCTTCAGTGACTGAGCCACCCAGGCGCCCTGAAAAATTTTATAATTTTGACATAGCTGGTGCTCTCTGAGGGGCTACAATGAACAAAACAAGTGTTTACCCTTTAAACTCTTTTTTTTAAGCGACAAAACTTTGCCTTTAAAAAAAAAAAGCTGTGTGCAATAAGGCATTTGCCTGTTATAGGATCTGACATTTAAAATCCCCATGAACCATCTTTAATTTATCAAGAGAGAAAGGAAAGAATTGTACAGCTGAAGAGCTAAACATGGTCCCTTCTTGAAAATATATGAAAAATTCAAAACAGAAACTGGAAAGAGAGGGAGTAGGAAATGTCCTTATGGTCAATTTAAACTGAATTCTACTGAATTTCTTTCCTCCTCCTCCAAATTTGCTCACTGCTGCAGAGAGAATCACAAATTCTTGCTTACCGTTCCGAAAAACAACTTAGTCACTGGAGAAAAACAACCACTTTTGAAAATGTATCTCTTAGTTATTTTCCTAGACAGACAAAGAGTTTCCTCAAAACTATTCAAACGGGAGAACAGCCCCCCCATCTTGGCTTGGTGGGACCCTGCACAGGCTTGTCCCTGAATCTTGGCTATTATGAGAAGCCCACAGCCACCACCCCCCCTACCCCAGAGAGCCTAAAAAGAGCTGTACTACTTCTAGAAAGGTTCTTGGCTTTTAAATATTACCAGTGCAGAGGACATGGTCTAAAATAAGGGAAATAAGAACAAAACTTGGAAGTAACAGGAAAAGGGATTCTATTTTCACATCTTCTCTCAGCTTTCTGAGAAGGAAAAAGGCAAATCGCCATTGTTTGTTTGTTCATGTATTTTCTTTGGGAGAGTCAGTCACGTGATGCTAGTGGTTGAAAGGGTAGGATCTGTGTCAAACAGATCTGTGTTTGAATCTCAACCTTTCCACTTACTACCTTCCAGGTAGAAGGTAGAGTACTAGAGTACTACCTTACTCTGGTAGTAAGGCTACTCTGCCTCAGTTTCTCATCTGCAAAATGAAGGTAATAAGAGTTGTGAGAACAACATGAGTTAATATACACAACGAGTATAGAATGGTGCCTGCTATATAGGAAGCTTCTTAATAAATGCTAGCTAATGTAATTGTTCTGGAGAAATTCCGGGATCCAGGAACCGGTGAGTGGTGCATCCCGAGTACTGACTAGTGACCCTGTGAAGGTAGGAGGGGAGGAGCTGCAGGTATTACAAAAACTGGAAGGGCGGGCCAGAGATAACAATTTATCTCATGGTTAGAACTAACATGACTTTGAACTGGGTAAAGATATGAGGGAGCAGGACTGTCTTGTGACTCTGGCTCACAGGTCATCCTTCCAGAAGACCTGAGGCCAATCAGGTAGGGAATCCTTGAGGATTAGACGATCTTCCTAGCCTAACTCCTTCTTGCCTTTGAAGCATGCATGCACTCTGGCTCCTAGCTCTGGCGGGAAGAAGCTGGCTACACGTCAAGACTGCTCATTGGCTATTCCTCCAGTATAGGGCCAGCTGCGCGGAGAAGGCCCTCTGCTTGGTCTTATGGTGATGCATCTTTCAAAGCATTAACTAGCTTATTCCTTGGAAACATTCACTTAGAAAGTAATTGGCAAAGTCATTAAGGCAAGAAAATGAAGGCCATTACCCTGTGTCTAGCATGACTTCACCTGAACCAGCCCAGACTTTGAGATCTTCCTACGTGAATCATTTGGGTAAGAAAAGGAGCATCATACATAGATCTTTGTATGCTTTTTATTCTCTACCATCTTAGCCTGGCTTTAGTCCTGAGTTTCAAGAATACTTCTCAGAAATTTGAAAAGAGCAAGACTAAGCACCAGCCATGGCCTCCTCTCTGTTTCTGTGGCAAATGCCAGTTTGCCAGGAAAGACCTGGTTCGTTTCTTTTTCCACCTGGAAAAAAGATCAGAGGCCGTATAGTTCTTTCTGCCTGCAAATGTGCTTACTACTTATCCACCAAAGGAAGAATGCTTCTGTTTTTAATGATCTCAAAATATGATTCCATAACGTCCCTTGGTAGTTCATCTGTGTTTCGTCATTTCCTCCTTCTGCTAATTATATCCTCAAGTACCTTCACATACATTAACTTATTTAATCCTGATAACATCCTGTGCAATAAGGATTATTCCTTTTTTACGACTGAGGAAGTGAAGATGCATCATTGATAAGTAACTTGCTGGGATTACACAGCTGGTTAGTAGCAGAGCAAGACTGAGAATCTGATTCTTCAGGCTCTCTACCCTCTGTGCTGTCCTTTACACTGTGGTCCACCTAGTACTGCTCTGGGCAGCTCCTAATCACCAACAGAATAAGATACAGTGTTAAGATGG